ACTACCTACCAGACCACCCCGACCCAACCCGAAGACCCGAATTTCGGGTTTGGGGGGGTATGGGCTCCATACGTGTTTTTTCGATGTTCCCCGACCCCCTCCACACCCACTGGAAATGGAGGGCAAATCGAGGCCTTCGGGTTGGGTTGGGGTGGTTTGGTGGGTGGTGACCAGCGCCGATGCTGAATGAACCTCCCACGACTTCCACCTGAACGCAAGGGGGCTTGCACGACGAGGGCAGCCTTCCGAGCAGCCTGGGGGGCGTCTGACACATACTCCCTCGCGCCGTGAGCAAATAATGACTAGACGAGCACGTTCCACTACAATGAGTAACTACTCGCAAATGGCCTGGATCCCCCGCGGGGGATTTACGATAAATTACATCAAAGCCCTGCGGCTGCACCCTCCGCACCTTCCGCGACAAAGTTCGAGCTCTTTTGCTGTCATGCCCCATTCCTGTTCGATGAGTTACTTGAGGTTTTCACTGTTTGTACTGGGTTTTGGCTAGTTTCAGAGAGTTCCACAGACATCCGAAGACATGATAAGACACATCTGTTTGTCATTATTATCGCCGTCGCTATCGCCAACGCAATCGCCGCGATCATCATCATGATCATGTTCGTCATCATCATCATCAGCATCGTCGTCATCGTCATCATGTCGCCATCATTACCAGCAGCAAAAGCATCATACGAGCCTCATCGCCATCATCATTCGTCCGCATCACCATCACCATCAGCATCATCATAACCACCATCATGCTATCATCGGCATCATCATCACCATCATTAGCATCATCATCGCCACCGTCATCGAGCGTCATCAGCGTCATCAGCATCACAACCTCGTTACATCACCATCGATCTCATCATCCAGGCCTTGGGAGGCCCTGCGCGCCCCAAGATGCTAGAGCACGCGGATCACCGAACACTTGGAGCCTCTGGAACCCTTGGACCCCCTGGCGCCCCAGACCCCTATCAACCCTTAGGCCCTGGGAGGCCCTGGTCGCCCCAGAGCCCCTGGAGCCTTTGGAACACTTGGAGCCTCTGGAACCATTGGAACCCCTGGAGCCCCAGACCCCTAGACTGAACCCCTAGGCCCTGGGGGGCCCTGAGCGCCCCAGAGACCCTGGAGCCCCTGGAACACTTGGAGCCTCTCGAACCCCGAGAGCACCTGGACCCCGACCCTCAGACTGGTCCCCTAGGCCCTGGGGGGCCCTGAGCGCACCAGAGCCCCGAGCCCCTGGAGCCACAAGACAGCCCGAGCGTCCGAGATCCCGACACCTAGACCCCATGCAGGAGCGGAGTGGTTGTGCCGAAAGGCATCGGAGAATATTAGGTGTGGTAACAAAGAACGGGCATCGATCTTGCAACAGAAAATCGCATGGCGAAGACTTGTCATCGATCTGGTGACAAAGAAAGGGATGTGTAAATCACAAAACTGGCACCACCGATGAGGAGCGACACGCCCATGGGCATGCCATTCACGACGGCAGCCGAGCACAGCGCACGCTTGACAACACGAGGGCTACGCACAGACGTGCTTGCGCACAAAATGGGGGGCGGTGCCCTCCCCACCGCTGGGAGCACCGATGACCCAAGCGAAACGCACAGGAGGAAGACCCAGGCGAAACGCCTAGGGCGCTTGTTTCATGCTATACCTGGAACCCTGGAGCACCTGTAATCCCTGGAACAATTTAGGCCACTCCTGGAGCCCATGGGGCACCCTTTACATCGGGAGTGGTGGTGTGATAGTAGAAGGAACTAGGGTGCCTCTTCGAGAACTCGCCATCGCTCGAGCCGTTCGCCCCCCGCACAGTTCGTTTTTTTGTTCGCGAGTCCAGCAGCAGCGACGAGGCAGCTTCAACGCTCGACATTGAGGGTTCGAGCTGGGGACCACATGTACCAAAAACTACAGTTTGATATAACTGTCCCACCAGCCGCATATCAGCGATCTCACGTCCGAGCGATGCCGATAAACTGGTGGGCGCGCAACCGTTCTCACCTCATCTGGACGCTGAACTCGCGGTCGTGCTGAACCAGCCTGTCGGGCGCTACTTGGTTGAGTATGATGCGCATCGCGGCCAGCTCCTCGCCTAGTTCGTAAGTCTCGATGTGCAGCGCTCGAATCTCTTGAGCCCTGCTCTCCAGTGCCTCGGGTGTGTGCGCTGGCGGGGCAGATGGAGGATGGCGCGGAGCGCTCGGGCTTACGGGTGGTTGCGGTGAGGAGGGTGGGGGATGAGGACGAGGAGGAAGAGGACGCGACTGGCGAGGGCCAGGATGCGGATCGGACGAAGGGGGGTAGGCGAAGGACGAGTAACGGCACATGCGGCGCGCGCCAAGGCAGGAGAGAAGGGCAGTCCAGCATTGTTGTTGCACCCTATCCCGCCTGGGTGCGCGCCGCATCTGCGTCTCGCAGCTGCTGCAAGAGCCTCGCGATCTCGTCAATCAGGGCCTTCGTGTCAGACATCGGAAGTCGGGGTGGCGCAGCGCTGCGTGAGTGCGACGGGGCTCGCTCTCGGGTGACGGGCCCATTGGGCCAACGCGTCAAGGACGCCGACCCGCATCCTTCTCATCGTTCTCCTCCTCCCCCTGCTCCTCCTCCTCCTCTTCCTCCTCCTCCTCCTCCTCCCCGCTCCTTCTCCTCCTCTTCCGTCTCGTCCTCCCGTTCCTCCTCGTCATTCACCCCCCCTCCGCCTCATCATCGCCAGCATGGCCATCAGCATCGCCATCGGCACCGCCGCCATCATCATCAGCAGCATCAGGATCATTTGCAGCACCACAATCACCATTACCCTTACCATCATCAACATCATGATCATACTCATCAGCATCATCACCAACAACGGTATCGTCACCACCATACTCATCAGCATCACCACCCTACTCATCATCGTCATCATGAGCAGCCTCACCACCACGTCACAGTCGTCGCCATCGTCCTCAGCACCATCAGCAACATCCTCGTCACAATCACATTCATCACCACCATCACCATCACCACCACCACCAAAAATACCGACAGCACCACCAACATCACCGCCACCATTAGTACCGCCATCCGCGTCACCATCCTCGGAACCGTCCTCATCATCAGCACGTCGTCGTCACCATCAGCATCGTTACCATCGACATCGGTACAGTCACTACCACCGTCGCCATCACCATCACATCCGTGGGAGCATCATCACCATTATCATTGCCATCAGCATCGTCATCATCGCCAGCACAATCATCGTTAATATTACCACCACCGTCGTCAGCACCATCGTCATCATCATCACCACCATCACCGCCACTGCGGGCGACCCTGAGGGGGCCTGGGGAGAAAACTCCAACATTCGCGTTCTTCTCCTCGCCCTCCCCCTCCGCCGCCTTATCCCCTTCCTTCCCCTCCCACTCCTTCTCCTTGTCCTTCTCCCACTTTTCCTCACCCGCATCGTTCCACTCCTCCTCTTCTTTCTCAAGCCTCCTCGTCATCACCAGCATCATCAGCATAATCAGCGACAGCACCATCACCATCAGCATCACCAACGACATCGTCAACCGCATCGTCATCCGCATCAGCAGCATCATCAGTATCACCACCATCGTCGTCATCGCTCTCACCACCAGCATCGCCACCATCACCATGACCACCACCACCACCGTTAACATCGCCAGTGCCACCACCATCACCCTCATCATCAGCATCGTCAGCAGCAGCACGATCCTCGACAACGCCCTGATCAGCAGCAGCGTCGGCACCAGCATCACCAGCAACAGCATCGTCAGCATCATCATCCGTATCGTTCCTGTCGACATCAGCATCGTTATCGCCACCGCCCCCACCACCAGTGCCATCATCATCGCCGCCGTCGTCAGCAGCATCTTCGTCACCATCACCATCACTGTCGTCAGCATCATCGCCATCGCCATCAGCATCGCCAGCAGCATCATCAGCACCGCCGCCGTGGGCAGACGAGTTTCGAACGCCTGTCGTTCCCCTTCGTGTCTCACTCCGTCCGCCTCATCATCCTCCACGCTGCCCCCGCCCCCATCAGAAACCTTTTGCAGCCCCTGGGAAACCTGTGAAAACAGCCCCTGGGAAAACACGCGCCCCCTGGGGCACCGACTGCAAAACCACCACCCCTTGGGAAACTGCGCGTCGCCGTGGCTCTCCCCCAGGCCCTCGCCCCTCGGAGCAAATCCGCGACAACCGCCGTGGCGCGCTTCCGTGCGCTGCCAGCTATCTGCGGAACACCGTTGCCGCGGGGAGGTGGGTGGGATAGGACTTCTTACATCATTCATCTATGCACATACACACATATACATATATATATATATATATATAGATACATACACAAACATAAGTATAACCAAAACTACAGGTGGGTCCTTCGCCCACGTGATGCTGATGTTTTTCAATGCTTGTCGGCCTGCTTCTGCAGGTATGACAGGTACCATTTGACCAAGCTGTTGACAGCGAACTTGGTCCGATTGATGGAGGCTGCCCTCTTCCGAGTGTCGAAATTCTCAGACTCGTCCCGATAATTGTGGGACCACGCAGGGTTGCCAGCCCAACGGGCTTGGTCGACAATGTGCTTGCCGAAGACATGCCACTTCATCTGGCAGCTGCGGCCAGTGGCGATCCATGCGTTCATGGTCCGATCGGCCACGGCTTGCAACTGTAGCAACGCTAACTCTTCCATGTTGCGGGGCTGCGACTTCATGATCGCGTAATACTCCACCATGCCCTCGCCCACAGTCAACAGCTCTGTGCCGTCAAGCTGGACGGGGTCATGTCTGTCAAGTAAGTCTCGGCCACCTTTCTGTCTGAGGGTAAACGCAACAAACGGTAACAGCGACCTGCTTTTGCCAGCCTTGAGCTTGAGATATGGGGAGTTCTCATCACCGAGCATCTGCACCTTCAGCCCGATCTGGCGCTCGCGATCTGGAACCCCCTTGGCTTTATAGTACTGCTGCAAGGCATCGCTCATGGCAACGTCCACCTCGTCATGGTCCGCATCCGTGAAATTGCCGAAATACCCAAGCCGAACGAGCAACCGCAAAACCGTTGCCATGAAGTAGGCAAGAATACCAAGGTCCGCAAAATGCATCGAATCGAACAAGAAATGCTCCAATCTCAAACCTGGAACGCCAGGCTGGACGCCCCGCACGGTAAACAACCGATTGATAAAGAGGAGGCTATTTGGGGGCCTCGTGTACACGAGCATCTGGCGACGCTCGGGCGGGAAGTCGCTGCACCTCTGGCCGTGCCAGAAGTCTGGCCGCCCAGGAAGGGCGGGCTCAATGCGGTCCCCCCGCCGGAGGGCGGGAAACTCATGACGAATGTGCCGTTGGAGAATCACGCCGCCACGTTTCCTCCTGATCACGCAATTATCCCGCAAAGTCTGGACTTGGCTGTCCTGCACGTCATGCAAGGCAAGCGTACTTTCAGCGGTGTCGATCAACCATTGATGTTTTCGTTTGCGCACTGGCGCTGAAAGGTCCGAAAACTCTGCGTGACTCTGAAAGCACCGCAAACAGCCAAACTTGCTGCGGTAGTCTGGTAAACCGAAGGTTTTCGGCATTTCGTCCAGATCCGCGCCTACCTCCACGAGAACAAAGCGGCAATTGCCGCGCACAGATGGGAACAATGGCCTTCCAGCCAACAGTCTTCGCCAGGAGTCCTCTGGCCAAGGCAGCCCTGTCGAGTCTCCTGCAGGCCAGTACCCTGCAGCAGCCACTCGGAAATCAAACGCGATCTTGTCTAGGAGAGGCTGGAGGGTGTGCGACCCTCTGCACCCGCACCTGCAAAACATGCGGTGGTGGTACTGCCCCACGAGAATACGCTCATCCTGGTGAAGTGTGGACACGAAGAGCCGCCGCCCCGCAATAGAGACGCCAGCCACTGCGGCCCGAGATGGAGCCCCCTAGGGCGCGAAACGTGTGAGGAATGTGCGCGCGTTAGCGGGTGCGAGCGCAGCCGCTGCGGCCGTCGGTGGAGCCACCCTATGGAGCCGCGAAGCGGGGGGCCGAAGGAGGGCGCCTGGCGGGCGCCTGGCTGGCCCGCGATCGGCTCGCGAACGGGCGGTCCTTTCCCTGGCTATATACACAGGGAGCGGAAACATACCTTTATATATATATATATATATATACATAGGCACATGTATGTGTATACGTGTACACACAGGGGGTCTCCGAAAAGCAAACACGCAATATCCTCCGCACTCCTCCTCCCCCGAACCGCCACCCTCCTTCGAGGGTGCCCGTGGCGACCCCACAAGACCCGACCGCGCGTTTCCCGCGACCCGATCCCGAGCGGGACCGCCAGAGGGCCCCAAAAAAAGCACGCAGGCCGTGGCGGCCCGCTGGGGTGGGAAGGGCGGCCCCGCCGCCGTGCCGCTCCACGGCGGCCGCTAGGCTCGGCGGCGGGGTCCGCGGGTCAGGCGGGTTGGCACAGTGGCCATTGTATGAACCTCCCCCGCCTCCGCCGTAACCCCCCAAACCTAAGAGCAAGCCATGACATACCATAGCATAGCACGCGTTAGTGCGCAAGCAGACGTCGTCGACGTTAAAATGTAATACGTGAGGGCTGAACAGCAAACCGCGCCTTCGATTGCCGAGGCCTGTGCTGGACCTCCAACGCAGGCCCTGGCAACCGAAGGCGCTGGCCCAACTCTGCCCACCCCCTTGCGCACCCCAAATGGCTAGGTTTTCGGATCTGGGCGCGCGGCCCGCCCCCACCCCGCCGACTCGCAACGGGTGTCCACAGGGAGCCTTCTTCTCGAATCCCCCCCCCTGCCCCCGCGCCCCCCCTTCACCTCTTCCCTCCCCTCCCCCCCTCCCTCCCCTTCCTTGTTTTTTCCGCCGCTCCTCCCCCTCTTAACCACCCCTCCCCGCCCGCCCCCGCTCCCCCCCCCCCCCCCCTCCCCCCCTCCCCCCCCCCCCCCCCCCCCCCACCCCCCACCCCGACTCCTCCCCTCCCCCCCACGCCGCCCATAAGGAAGAGGGTCATCCACCGCCGCCTCATCTCGCCCCGCGCCTCCTGGGGTGGCCAGGGGGCCATGGGTGAATAGTTGGCGCCGTCGTCGTATCCACCGCAGTCGTCGGGGTTCCCTATTGGGCTGCCAAACGTGTGAAGGGTTCGCCAAACTGGGCGCGTTGGGTGCGTGCGAACGCTGGCATGTAGGCCGTCGGTCGGGCCCCCTACGTGGCCACGGGCAGCCGCCGATTGGGCCTCGGAGCGCGCGATGGGCGCGCAAAAATGAGCGGGGTGGGCGCGCGCGGGCGCTGGCATGCCCGCTTTCGGGCGTACCCCCGATGGGGCCACGAATCGCGTGGGGGGGCTGCCAAAATGGGCGCGGCGGGCGCGTGCGGGCGCTGGCGTTTGGGCCTCCGGCAGGGACCCGCATGGCGCCGCAAAACGTGCGAGGGGCGCGCCAACGCGGGCGGTGTAGGCGCGTGCGAGCGCTGTCATGTGGGCAC